AGTGTTGTTACTTTGAGATGGATTGCGAACTTCCAACAAAGAAAACATGATCTTTAACTACAAGATACAATTGAGGGATTTAATGACATAAAAATGCAAAAAACTATGAGTCACAGGCAAAAATGTATGCCACCAATAACAACCGGTGTCCGGTAGCGGCAGCTGACAAAATTGCAGTGCACCCGGGTAATTGTCATCTGTTTCAAAAAACACAGGACAACGCAGGATTCAACGGCGATATATGGTATTGTAATTCTTCACTATGGGTAAATAAATTACAGGAGATAATGAAGGTAATTTCGAAAGCTACAGATTTGTGCCGAGTGTACACCAACCACTGTATTAGAGCGACGGCGTGCAGTCTTTCGGCCGGAGTTGAGACAAGGCATATCATGTACGTGTCACAAAAACGATGCGAAAATCCGATCTTACACCATCAAACGGCGGGGGTTATTGCTTAAGTACTGTATATCATTGTTTTAGTTGTGATTACTGCAAATCCGTTTTGATCAGGAAATGCTTGCAAAACCTTGTTAACAACAGTTTTTCTGCCAAAGATACCCCAAATTCACACAGCTTTTACTTGTGAAGTCACAGAAAGAAAGATTTTTAGTTCTTGACAGATTATTGATAGAAATCTGACTTGAGTCTTTGTTTTTGGAGGAGACAATTCTATTGTATATACTCGCTTTCCAACGACATCAAAATCACAGGAAAAGTTGACGAGTACATTCATTCTATAAACTTCAGAACCCAGTGACCTGTCAAACAAAGCATCACTATTTCCAGTGTTCAAAGTTTTTCACGAACATCCTTTTGCAATAGCAAAACATGATTTACACCTATCAAAATATTAGGCTCACGTAAAGGTAACATCAAAAAAACTAAAATTGTGGACAGTTGCTTGATAAATGATGGTAAAATGTGCAGAAAGCTGTTGTTTCCTGGCAGGAAGACTATTGAAATCATTGAGGACGATGCTGAAATTATAGAAGTAATTTCAATAAATACTAATGTCATGAATGAATCACAGGTTAAGTACTTAGATGCCACATTGGACTTCCTGTTTGAACTTAATAGTAATGGAAAAAACGCTTTCAGGTCAATTAAATTTATCATGGTAATTTCTCAAAAAATAGTATTGGAAGAAATGCTTTTAGGTCAATTTATCATGGTAGTTCCTCGAAAAATATGGAAGTTATTAGTAATTGCCGAGGAAACACTGGTAATGATTGTCACACTAGAGTAAAAGACGTTCTGATATATTTTTATCTTTATCAAGAGATCAACATTTCTTTGATCTAAATTGTATGATAATCAGACATTGAATGATAATATATGCTGCAATCTCAGTTCATATCTGCCACCAGGTGCTCTGTTTCCATACAACAGTACTGTTATGACCTCTAGCAGTTTTGACCCAAGGTTGACACCGAACAAGATTTGACACCTCAGTCTCACGAGTATACGCGATGTAAAATTCCTATTTTGACACTAAATTAGTTGTTCTAAAATTAACTTTGTTGACATGTATCCCATAGTATAAATGTGTTAGCTGGCTTTGTCTATAGTGACAGTTATCAATAAAATAACGTGTGACCTCGACGAGGTCAAATTGACTAAGAATTGCGCGAAATGCTTTGAAGTAAGCTTACCAATCTCTTGTCATAAACTGCAACAGAACAGTGGTCATAATGAAAATCACAACATGACCACACCCCCTTTCCATGCTTTACACCACATTGTGCTTCCTTTGGCATGAAATTGATCAGACGAGAATGATTTTTCTTTTTAACGTTTACAGTGAAAATATTGTTGCAGCAAAAATTGTGCCTCCATTCCCATTGAAAAACAACCATGTTTGGTTGTTTTATTACCTCTCTGTTTAGTCCTTTGGGAGTATGACGATTTACTGCTTGTCTGTGACCCGATTCTCGGGCTGCCACTGTTGCTTCGACTATGTCTGCTACTCGGCGAGTCCGTCTGGCGTACACTTGGCGATTCCTTTCTTCTATCACTTCGTAATTCATTGTAATTTCCAGATTGGCTCTTGGATGGGTTCTTCCCAACAGTCTGAAAAAACAAAGCAGAATTAAATGTTCACAATGCACAACACTTATGATGGATGTAAACAATAAACTTTCATAAACAGTAAATTTCAAAGAAAAATTTCAGGAAAACCAGAACAGAATCACAAAATTAATCCAGTTAATGTTTAGCATGGTTCCTCATAGAATGTTTTTTGTCTAGTATCGGAGACAAATCATAACAGAGCTAATCAAAATTACATACAGGAAGTGCTAGGAGATGACAACCTCACAGGCCATGTAGAGGTCAACAAATTTAGGTCAGTTTTATTTTTCAAATAATTTAGCATAATATGTTCGAAGAATATCCAAAATACAAGGCTGCTTTGCCTTTTCATGTTTATTAGTCATTATTTTGGGGGTACTGATTTTTTTGTTTATTTTCTGCAGTGAAGCAGAATTCGATATAAACAAATCATGTTTTTCATATTTTTTAAATCAGATCGAAATGATCGGATACACTTTCGCTTTGGAGAACGGCAGGAAATGATTAGCAGTGAAGCATGCTGCAGTCTGTTCACCAAATTTTTAGTTCCGATGTAAAATTTTAACAGTGTTTCAATTTTTAATGTGCAGATGTTTTGCACTTGCACAGGAACGCAGCATGAAAGTTAATCGTCTCGTCGCCCTGGTTTATTTCGCGATCTTCGACTACAAACCTGGTATGGATGGGCTCGGTTTCTATCATGGTACCTACAGGAATAAACAAATAAAATATAATTAATATAATGAACCGATGTGCTGGAAATCTAGCTCAGAAATTGCACCACGAAAATGAGAATTATTCTGGGATTCCCTAACAAATATGGCGGATGTTGCCCTGGTCAGTCACAGTTTCGTCAAGGAAATAAATCGATCCGTACCCATCGTGGAGCCTTGGATGTGTTCTTGCATGCATTACCATTAATGCTAGTGTTTATGGAGTCGATTTCAGGGCAAATTAGCCGTTAGGATCTGTAGGAAATTTGACTATTCGACTCCACAACACAAGGCATCTCAATAAGGTGGGGAGGACGCCATGACACATACGGGTATTCTGAAAATATATCGTTACGAATCGGCTACGTTCGGAAAAAAAACTCGGATGTAATGAACGAGGGGTGAGTCTGGTGGCCGCGGAGGGGTCCCCGATAAACAACTTTTTAATACAGTAATTTAGATATTGACGAGAAATGTACATGTTTGTAAAACAAATAAACTATATAGACATACTTGACAAGTTATTTTAAGTAGTCACCTGAAACAAACATTTAAAAAAAATATTAATTAATATTTTATGAACTTATTCATAAACAGATGTGCAAGTAGCATGTTTTCGACGGATATAGATTAATTTTAATTATAAAACACGCATAATTTAAAGACCTGGCTACTATTGTAGCCGGTCTATCAGTTATCCAATAAATTCTTACCCGCCAAACAAATGGTATCACCCAATCAGTCAAGATTGGTCACGTGACGCACAGTTTCAAGATGGAGCAAAGCGAGTAGGCAAGGATGTGATCAAGGTAGGTGGTATTTTTCGAGACTTGCAGATTCCCATGCCCAATATTCATGTATCACGAAATCACCCTGGTTCCCCGTAATTGAAGTTTCAGAGACTATTGGTACAACATGTAAGAAATCGCGATGTTTATGCGTATGTCTCACAAGTGTACCACTACCTAGTGGGCTTGCCTTCGTGTTATTGTTTTTGATCGTGGAAGCTTTGGCGCGTTGCTCACCAGCATTTCACCGAGTCCCTGCAGTACAACGGCGGGTGACTCACTCACAGTGCTTCATATTTGCAACATTCTATCGCGATGTTGACATAAACCGTATGCTTACACCGGTGAGACTTAGTGATTCAATTGTGACTCATTGTACTTGAAAAAAATACACACGAAGCCATGGACCATCCGCACGCATTTCATTGCCGATCAATCGTACGTATTTCTGTGTTTCAAATAATAATTGCCGATTCAACACTAGCCTCTTCAACACTTCCCCGTTTCTTGTGCAATATGTGTGTTGTATCTTTGTTTCCCCGTTTGCTCGCGCACATTAGCAGTTTTGTCGATACGCAACATTTCGAATAAACCTCGTACGCTCTGTGAATCATTTGTTCCGAACTCGCTAAGTAGTTAATATTCTTTTTTAATTGGGTTATTGATTCTGTTTCCACCTCGTAAATATAATTGTACAATTATTCCTTGAGATATTTTGCTTGATCATGACGTATTTGTGTAGTCAAAGTTGATTTATCATCACCGTTGCCAGCCAATCACAGATGACAAATACGGAAATAAAAATCTTTATTATGGCTAATCCTTCAGTAATGTTTTGTATGCTTTGTAATTTCTTTTCAAATTACCATGAAATCGTGATCCCGTGAATATATTTCCTGCTAGATTTAGTTACAATATCAGGTGACCTATTAAAAGCTTATTTTGTCATTTTTTTTTTATGATTTCCAACGAAAAATCTTACTTTGGTTACTTATAGGTATTATGTATATAAGACAGGTGTGGATTATTTAGTCATTTTCAAAACCAGATGAAAGTATGTTTATCCATTTTTTTTAACTCACTGGTGTCTGAATTTAGAGTACAAGAAAAATAGTAATATCAGTATAAATGAAATTAGAGAAACAGCTGATTAATAAATGAAATTTAAGAATTGTTATCAGAAATATTAAGGAGAAACAACATAATTTATAATTGCAGTATAAAAAAGTAATTATTAGTCAAATAAACAATCAAAAGTTAATTCGTAGCAATCAGTCTTGGAAGGTATTTTCATCGCTTAGTATTTAGTGGGAAAGGATTTTTTCTATAGCATGCTTAAAATTCATTACTTGTACTCAGCGTCGACTTCTGTTATCCGGAGTTCGAGCATTTGTACTGTCTATACAAATCAATTTCTGAGATGGATAATTTGAATGGGTGTGTGTGTGGAAGTATGATAGAGGCTCTGAAAAGGGTTGTTGTCCTTTATATGAACTCTAATGTTTACATTTATTATTATTATTATTATGTCCTTGTCTTTTCAAGTAGGATATTCCCTTTTATGCCGTTGTCACTAAACTTTGCAAGTGTTTTATTTTTTACATGTGCTAGACTAATACAAAAACGAAAACTATGATTTACATATCTCAGGATATATTCCAGGATTAATGATATCTAAAATTAATGGATTAACCTAATATGTTTGTACTTTTTTAAATTAGCAATTTTTTTTTTCAAAAATCATGAATTAAAAAAATTAAAATATTCAGGTATTGTCACTAGATTTTATTTTCATTTAATCATTTTTTCATTAAATATAGTAAAAGATAAGTCAAAGCGAAAATAAAGTACTTGACAGTGTACAGAATTACTTTTGCTTACTAATGTGTTTAAAGGGCCAGCTGTCAACCCTTGGGATTGCACTGGGGAATCATGGGTCACCCATTGCTCATGTTTATAATTTTTTCGTTTGTTTACTTTTGTAATTTTGATTGGTTGAGTATGTTCACTCTAGATAACTGTTTTTGTGTTTTATTAGCACTGCTATAAAAGCCCAAAATTTTTATAGTACTTTTTTTAAAATGAAATACAAATCCATTTCTTTGTTATGTTAGTTTAGTCTGATTAATTGCCTTTAGAAAGGTTATGTTTGTATACTCGCTATGACACCAATTAACTGATAGTCTTGGGATATGTTAGGTACCCAGTTTCCTTATTTTTGATCAATGTAATGAATAATGAAGTCCCATATCTTGTATCCATGGTTACTAGATACCATATTTGATTCACTAGCAGGGCATTTCCTTATGTAAATTGTCAAAATATGTAATATTTTTATTATTCAGTATACAAAGAATGAGATTTATATGTATATTTATTTGTTTATATGCGCTTCTATTGGAAATGCGCTTCTAATAGAACAAATATGGTAATCCCTATTGCCCTAGTGTCCATTCTATATTAAGCTACGTTCTCACACGTATAAAAAACGTCGGTGTTAACACTGTTTTTTTTCTTGTGCAAATATTAGATAATCTGCTGAATTGTCTTCTCGTGTTCTCACTCAGTAAAAACAGCGGTGTTTGAGGTTTGAATGCTGGCCTTCCACCTAATATTTCGTGTAGTTCATCCCAAAATGGCATAGTTTTCGGATCTCTACTGCTTCTGTTGTTGTGCTCAGTCACTTCTCTGTACTTTATAAGTAAAGTTTTGGTCTTCCAATTAACTTTGTAATGACGTCCTGTCTAACCCCTTTTCAGCCGCTTTTTCTGCAATCACAGCATATACTATAGCATCCCTAGATGCTCCGTCCATCATTCTTTGAATATTGGATTCTCTCTATACAGATATGAGTAATTTTGTTTCTTCGTCTGACCAGTTCGACATTCGATCTGTAACCTCTGACGCCATCTTGTGTAATGACAAGCATAAATAAGTCGGCAATAGACGGAGTTTGGCCGTTGTATTGTGTTCACATGGCACATTGGGTTGTGCAAGAGCCGGTGTGACAACAGCCTTTAGGATCTGGTCCATCCTATTTACGACGGTGTCAAAAACGCCAACGCCAAAACGGCGTATTCTGTTTACACGCACACATTTTAACAATGTTCTCAGATAAAAGGCGTTGTGACAACAGCTTATTTCGTCCAGTGAGAATACCACTTTAGCTAAGACATTCTGAGAAATATTGGCTTTTTTCTGTCCTACATTGTTTGTGAGATTAACCTGTAGATAAAATATAGTATGCACAGAAATGATGATAAAACAATATAAACGAGGGGAGGCTGCTTCAGTTTTGTCAGCATTACCTTGTTTACACTACAACATTTTATCAGAGCCCAATGGCTCAAAGCAGCAAAAATCCCTGGGTAAACATGTTCAGCTCGAGTCGACTTCGGCTCCAGTATTGTCTTGGTGCTGAGTACCGACTGACTGGGCCAGACATAGCCCTGACTGTAAACTCATCAGAGGTTAAATCGCACACTCTATTGCTCTTACATCTGAAGGGTCAACATCGTTTGTAATTTCTCACCTCCCATTTGGCCCTATCCAGAAAGTGCAAGGAGCAATTCACCTTTGATAACATGCTGGCTTGTAAACCTAGCACGTATCAACAGATTACATACAGAATAATTTTTTTTTCAGTATTTAAAATTCAGTAGGAAACAAAATGACAAATCCAGATTACTTGTAGTTATCCTAGCAGACAAATGTGATTACATTGCGACCAGCTATAAGTCATGATCTTTATAGGGACACCACTACGTGTAACTACTAGTATTAAGTCTAATCTCAAGTGAAATTTACTCACTCATTAAAGTTGATTACTACGAAAACAAACATAAACAATGGCCTCCCGTGATTATCCCCTTTTCTGGGACTGACAACTTTCCTCTTAAAAGAGTTTCAGGAAATGTCATAGAAAAAATGTTAAAGTTGAAAATAATCTTCATCCCAAAGAAAATCAACTGAGCCATTAATTAAAGAATCGTGTTTCACAACCATGTCCACTGGTCTGTGCTGTATTCACTCAGGATTCATCATTTCTTTTTTCATCGAATTGTAAATCCTAATAGGTTTTTTGTTATATATTTATTCTAAAAAATTACATGGTAATATACAAAATATGCCATATAATCTCACAAATTTCGACCTCTCTTTTAAAACTAATTATTTACACTTGAACATTTAGAAGTTTTGGTAGTACAATGTAAAAAATACACCAGTGAAAATTCAATAAAAAAAAGCTATAATTTGTTGCCATTTTGTGATTCATCCTAGATCACACTGGATTCTCATTTCTCATAAAAGTAATGTAGAACCATAAAATATAATAGAATATTAATCACCAGTTAATGGTTGCCTGCATAGCTGCATAGATATCTATCCGGGATATCTAGTTGCATTTTGATTACATCAGTTTACGAGTGTTTGACATAACATGAATTTAACATCATTCATCATTCTTATACATTGAGAGAATTACATTTTGAAAACCCAGTGGTCAAATTGTGAAATATCTGAAATAAGATATGTGTATGTGTTATTGCATTTTGTGTTTTCTCCAGTATATTTGAACAGTGTGGTGGTAACCATCACAGAGCACTATGTGTCAGCACTAGAACTTGCAATTTGCACATACAAAAAAAATGTCCGGAGAGACAACAGTGACACTCAATGTCCAGAACTGTCGCCTGGCACAAAAAATATTTAAAAAAAAAAAAAAACCAACACAGTGATTTGTTTTACCACCACAGTCATTGTCCTTACTACCACAGTTGTTCATTTCCACTGTGCAAATGCTGACTTTTTAGATCAAATTGCTAAATTACTTAAAATTCAAGTCTTATATCACTCGTGACTCGCAATAAGAGATTTGTTAGTGTATAAATTGTGTGCATCATGTAATTTAGTATTTTATTCAGCATCATTTTGGTTCGGAATAATTATGCAAATAATATGCAAATGTTATGCAAATTAGTAAGTAAATTTTTAATTTTCACCTCAGTGGTTTAATTAGC